GCCGCTCTCGATAAGCCACGCGAAACTAAAGTCATCACCATCGGCCAGTGTTGCTTACGCTATGAAAAATACAATACAGTCACTTTCCATCTGCACGCTTCGCACAACATCGATTCCCAAGGTATGCGGGATCTGCCGATTTTTTTATCGTGCATTAAACAATAACAACTTGTCAATCTAAGTCCACGTACAATTGGCGCAGTTTAAAATGCATTACAGACAGGGCGCAGACCTCCTCTTTGCCAACTTAGGCTAGATCCGACACCACAAAGCAGTAATAATGAAGAAAAACGAAATTCAGAACCACATATGCCAGTTATGACCAATGAACATTGTATATAACTGTATGCATTGCTTGGTACTCATGTACACTCATAAAGGATTAATACAATGGATAATTTACGGTAGCACTGAAAGATCAAACTGCTTTGCCCAGTCATCATGATTAATTCGTGTACGAAAAGCTAACAAAAAAAAAGACTTTCCTCGCGCACCCCGAAAACTCCCTTTGGATATTTTGGCGGGACACAGCGGAAACGGTAATTGAGAGTGCCCCGAATGTAGGGCGCTGAGCACTCATCGACATTAGAAATCGGATTCTAATGTCGATGTTCAACCTTCTATAGTTTGGCACTGTCGGTTCGTCGTTACTATATGTCGACAGACTCAGTCATATGAGCCGACTCACTCGGGTTCAGTCAGACTCAGATCCAGCCATGAGTCTCAGTCTGAGTAAGACCAGGGGAGTAATATTTTCGCGAGTTTTGAATCCGAGTGAGCCCAGTTGAAAAAAAAAAATTAGTGAGTCCGGTTGAAGAAAACTTCCGCGAGTGCGATGTCTGGGTTATATTTCATGAGTGTCTTTGAGTGAGCTCCACATTTTTTTTTTTCTGATGGCCGTTACTACTCAAAAATGCTTTTAGCCGAACAGCGATGTCAGTATACTTGACGAATTTCACCAACACGTGCAAGTTAACTACCTAAAACTGGCAGTGCAAACGTGTATATCCCAAGGTATGGTGAAATCTGTACGGTGAAATCATAAATATATGTGAAACATGGACTACAGACTTTTGTACAATTGTATATAGACGTTGGTTTCGTCAGGGCATACCTTTCTCCACGTTAGATAAGTGGACGCCCGCACCCATCATCCCTGCAGGAATAGAACCCAATATCTCCTGCGTCGAGGACGGACGTTCGATCACTTGACTACCGCTGCAGCGGTCAATTGCCGGGTGAGAGACAGAGAAGAGAAGATAGAGGGCATTGCAGAAGGAAAACTCGCACGTGCGCATCTTCAACTACCTCATGACTTTTTCAGCGAATGAAATTATATGACACGTTGGATCCTTCGCGCACAAGCGTCAGCAATTGAATCACCTCCGTCTCACTGGCATACAGCGCTTCGAGTGACATCACCACGACACCGCTTTAAGGAAGGTCACGTGCCCCGATGTCGCGTTCCGTTCACGGTGGCCTCAATATTATAGCGGTATTGAATCCTTTTCGGTCACGATTTCCTCGTGCGCCGTAAGCTCATTGCATAAAGGCCGTTCTCCGCTGCACGCGACATGGTTGACCTGACCGATACGGTATACACCAATTGATTGATTGATTGATTTGTGGAGTTTAACATCACAAAACCACCATACGATTATGAGAGACGCCGTAGTGGAGGGCTCCGGGAATTTCGACCACCTGGGGTTCTCTAACGTGCACCCAAATCTGAGCACACAGGCCTACGACATTTCCGCCTCCATCGGAAATGCAGCCGCCGCAGCCGGGATTCGGTCCCGCTGCCTGCGGGTCAGCAGCCGAGTACCTTAGCCACTAGACCACCGCGGTGGGGCCGGAATACACCAAAGCAACAAAAAAATTACCGTGTTCGTCTATCTTTATCTATTCATATCTTTGGTTTGTAATTCGTCGTTATGTGTTCGTCTATCTTTATCTATTCATATCTTTGGTTTGTAATTCGTCGTTATTTTTATGAGGAAGCTTAGATGGCCGGACCCCTTTTTCAGTACGCATTCTCATTTACTCAAAGTTTTATCTCTAAACTAATTTTCCAGCTTTGTTTTGGTCTCACAGTCCATTAATTTAAGCATCCTGCCACCCTATTCTTGTCCCATCCGCCTTTGTGAACGAGCGCCATTCATTCGGGGTCATCATCATCATCATCATCATCATCATCATCATCACTTCCCTCGTGGTGGGCGCACATAAGCGAACGTAGAGTTTTTCTTCAGAAAGGGGGGAGAAGGTTTATTGCAGCGCCCCCCTCTCTATTATGCCAATGTATAGGGCGGACATTCCGCCCCCCCCCCCCGTACTACGTTGACGCTGACAAGAACAAGCTAACATGTTAAAATGAAGTTACTCAGGCTTTCTATGCAGAGCGCCAGCTGCTCTTGGCGGGAGCTGAAGACTGACAACCCAAACCCGCAAGCGTATCCTACAGATTCTGCACTGAGATCTTTCACGATGGCTGCTGCAAGATCTACTGTATAGAAACTGCCACACTCAAACACTGGCTCGGGGAATGTGAACCAAATACTAAATATGGTGCTATGGTAGGGTAGGCAGGCTGTCCTGGTTTCAGACTTATATCTCAAGAACTGTCCTGCAACGTTGTCGCAGCGCAAGAACGTTGTCGCAGCGCAACGCCCTCTATCCTGTTATGTCAACGTTGAAGGCTAACCTTTCCCCTCCCTGGCGCACGTCTACGTCTACCCTGCCGACACCCCTTCCCCTTAATGGAACACTAAAGCGTAGCAATGACCTTGTCGACATAAACTCCACTCTCATAACTCTATTTACATAAGTTTGACTGTCATAAATTCATTATTAGCGAAGAAAATCAAGGCTGAACTTCCATTTTTAAATTTCGCGCCTAAATCTTCATGCGTGACGTAACAAATTGCAAAATTTATTGCTTGCGTTTTCGCAACATTGGCTCGGCGAAATTTTCTGAAACTTCGTACTCTGGGTCTATCGCACTCACACATGACAGCATACTTCATTTTTATCGAGTAGGAGCTATGCAGGCCCAATAAACGCCTTCGAAGTTTACTACGTCACGATGTTTGGTGCAGGAATCTTATGGTGGCGTCGTCAAGCACACTTTCATTTCACCAGTTTTCTCGCTTACCAAGCGTCATGTCGTGGTAAAAGTGACGTTTCCGCGATCTCGAGATTGTACTCTACTAATACGCGAAAAATAGTTTTGCTCTTTAGTGTCCCTTCAATCCCGACGTTCTATCAGCGAAGTGATTGATTGTTTGATATGTGTGGTTTAGCGTCCCAAAACCACCATATGATTAAGATAGACGCCGTTGTCGAGGGCTGCAGAAATTTCGACTCCCTGGGGTTATCTAACACGCACCCAAATCTGAGCACACGGGCCTACAGCATTTTCGCCTCCATCAAAAATGCAGCCGCCGTAGCAGGGATTCGATCCCGCAACCTGTGGCTCAGCAGCCGAGTAACTTAGCCATTAGACCCCCGCGGTGGGGCGATCAGCGAGGTGGGATGTATCCTGCAACACTCAAAGCTCACCGGTCAAATCTGGGCTCGAAGCGGCGACTAAGCAAGACCTGGACGTCCCGACGTGGAGTACCTGAGCCTGGGTCACCCGAACTGTAGGAAACGGAATAAAAGTTTTTACCACCCGAAGCCGAAATCAATGGAATGTAAGTTTAGCTTGTTCGTCTGACAAAAACTTTTCTCCAGAAAATGCCCAGAATTTTCAGCGTTGCTCGGCTGCTGCGGATCAGATTAAACAAACGTTCACGACAAATAACATGCGGCCTGTCAGTTGCATCGCATGCTTGTAGCCAGTGTCCATTTGCTATGTAACCATGGAAACCCACATCTACTGGGTTGACCGCACCGAATGGGCGCATGAGGGAGACGCCAGGTAAACTTTTGTTTTCGGACAGAAACAGTTTTATTAATTTTTCACCAGGACATTCAAGTGCGTCCGAAGCACTGCGCATAGCTCAAAATAAGCGAAAATTCTAATGAATGGGAGTCGACTGGAGCTTTTCTTTCTTTGCTGTGGGGTGGAGTATTCCTTCATGGCCTCCAGCATTGCCATGGCATGTACTGGCTCGCGACCATCATTGTCTTGTTTTAATGGCGACCTTATGACTGAATTGACGAGTGCCCTCTGACACGAATTCATTAAAAGTTCACGTGACTAAAAACATACGAAGGTTCTATGTTGTCTTTCAACGTAACTCTGTCCTCAAGGCGCGTACTCTGAGTAAACCAACTTTATATGCGAACTCGCTCATTTCTGCATGAAAATGTAACGGCGTGGGTTGCGAAGCGGGCTTTTGAAATGCGCGCGTGACGGTCAGTGGTCAGGAAGCGACCTTGGCAGCGCAAAAGTACAGAAGACATCCCTACAGAAAGCGCGGGGTCGTTGTAGGACGAGCCGCGTTGGCCGCGTCCTCAAATGCTGAATTTTTACCGCGCACGTGTGATGCCTTCGTGAACGCCATTAGTAATGAAGCGAAACTGAGTCGGCGCGTCGCGTCAACGCAATCTCGGCATTGAAGTAAAAGCGAACAGCTCTTTAAAAAAGGCAAAAAAAAAAAAAACTTAGTGTCGAGTTCCGAAATCTTCCAGACTCGTGCGCCTTCGGCCGACGCGGTTGTGTTGCGTGGTCTACCGACCTTTCGGCGCGCGTATGTGAAGCGTGAATTGAGAGTTTGAAAAGCGCAGCACTTGAACGCTATTTCGAGGTGTGTTTTTTTTTTAACTTTGCGACGCGTGTGAGCTCGCATGCTGCAGTACTACCGCGACAGTGACGAACCAGGACAACGCGCACGAAGCGTGAAGCGTATTTAGAACAGGCCGCGCAGCGCAGCTACGGTGGTGTTCCTGGTTTTTTCGCTGTCTTTACTTGAGCGCGCGCCGGGTTTCAGATTGCAGCGCGCGCGCGCCTCCCTCTCCGCCACAGATATCTTTTTTATCCTTCCCGAAGAAGCCCCCTGCGAGTCTTGTGCCGCTTCTCCGTCGACGACGCGTGGTGTTGAAGCAGCTGGCGTGACACATCGACAAGCGGGATGGATCCCACTGTGATGGTGACAATTTCGACGACGGGAATTTCGCGACTCGAGTGATTCCGGAAGCGATCGCCAGGAGGTCTCGCGATCGCCCAGCTGGCTTTTCGTCGTCTGCTTCTTCTCCCGGGCTTGTTATCGTCCCTCAGTGTAAGGGAGCCTCGATTTTGTTTCTCTAGCTCCGAAAGCGCGGTCCGGGCTTGATGACCATTCTTTTGGTGAAACGCGTCTCGCAGGAATGAAGATGGAAGTCGAAGTGCGTGTGCTGACCCTCAACTGTTGGTGAGTGACTCCTTTTATTTCGTCGTTACCGTGTCGGGTTTCCTTCCGTCGAGTTAGGCCTAACACTCGCATCGCTGCTGCGTAAGCTTAAACAGAACGGAACGACGGCGTAGTGTGTCCCTAGTCTGTTATCAGGGGGATTTCATGGTCGTGATAACTCACTGCGACTTCAGATTTTTTTACGCCTCTTTAATAAAAGCACCCGGTGGGCTGCAGTTGTAATCACTGCAGCAGAGGCCGCGGTTGCTTGATCTCGTTGAATGAAGGTTTATATCGTAGCTCGGAGCTTGTTTGTAACAGTTTAAAATGAAGGGGAATAAAAATTGAATCTGTGCTGCCGCTTGTAGCGTTGGATTGATGGTACTCCTTGTTCCTAGCAACAAAATCGTCATACAACTAGTCGTTCGGAAGAAGTCGCTATGAATCGGTCGTGGTCGGTCTCTACTCCGTGTCATCGGCAACCCGATAATCAAACGGGTAATTAAATTACTATTAGCCGTAGCTGATCACGTCTGACTCATGTATCTCTTTGAATGCCGGTAGTGTGAAATTGTAGCTTCTCCGCGAAACAGATAGATTAGCAAACACGGGAACTACATAGCCCGGCCCGCCCTTATTCTAACCACTCGCTTTCAGGAAACTGCAGCTGACAAATAAGAAAAGAACGCTGCGCCGATTCTTCGTAAAATCGCGCCGCACTACCGCGTGCGAAAGGGAAAGCGAACGGTCGAATCGGAGGAAGAGAAAAAAAGCGAAAGCCTCTCAAGGGAGAGCGCTTCCTCATAGCTGTCAGACCATCCTGTCTCGCTTCGAGCGTCTTTTCTTCTTCTTTCCTATCTCGTTTGTTTGGGCGCCTGGCACACATATCCAGCCGACGCAATCTTAGCCCGGGGGGACATTCCCTGGTGATCCTACGGCTGCCGCCTTTCTTTTTTTTCTGGGTCAGGAGAGAGTCTATATATAGGTGTTTCATTGTATGCGTACGTACGCGCACGTACTTCAATTGACGTTGCTTTAAACACTTTTCTGCAATATTCGGATTGTAGTTTTGCCGATTGGATCGGGGTTCGTTCTCTCAGTGGAGAGACAAACGCTGTGAGCTCGTTCGAGCAAGCGCAAATGCAGGTATGCGTGATCGAGGTAGCGGTTGTTTACGGCAGTGGCCAACGAACCTGACTCCAGAACGGTGCCTTGAGTTGTTGCAGAGACTGTTTCCATTCGCTCAGAGACGTGTCATGCATGCACGACTGGTGTTGCCATCATGACACACGTGTGAAGATGGTGTACGATTGACAGAATGACCAGCTTGTGTCTAACAGTATTTCAGTTTAGGCTCGCAGTTGTGTGCTCGTCCTTTGAGTGAATGGGGCAGACACGAGTACCCCGTTTCTCCCGGTTGTGCAATTCCTGGCGGCTGACGGAAGTCGCTGCTTGAAAGAGGTTGCTATTTATATTTCTTGTCACTTTTTTCGAGGGGCTTTGAGTCAGTACAAACTGGTCTCTGCGTATTTGCGATACCTCGTTACGAACACAAGGAACAGTTGGCAACTTTTTGACGTATGTTGTTTGAGTCTGTGTTGCGGCAAAAATCCTTCCGTAGTGTCACAACCTCGTGCCACCATGCTCATTGAGCGGACTGCATGTCATCTTCAAACTTCGCCAAACAATCTGTGCATGGCTTGTCACTCAAACACTGTAAGATTTGTTGTGTTGGACATTGTTCAAGCCCTTCTCATCAAAAAATTATGATTGATATAATATTCAATGACTTTAGCTTTCAGCTGAATAACAATCATTATGAGACTTGTATAAGACTTTATGCATATTGTGTTACACACCAATATGTGGTTTCTATCTTGTGCGAATGCTGAGTCACTTCATATTCTCTAGATACTAATCATGTGAGTGTCTGTATACTTAATATGCTGTTTTCATTTTTACCAATTGTAATAAAGAATTTATGAAGGGCTACAAACACAACTATGACATAAATAAATTGCGAAGCTATGTAACCTACTAATGTCGAGAAAGTACTGCGCACGAACACAGCAAGTGTAAATATTAGTTTGTATGAGATGTGTTATAAGTTAATATGTAGTAATAAATGTCTGTAATAAATGTCCAATGCATTAATGAGCAGTAGCAAGAAGTTGAACAAAGTTCGTGGTTATATTAGGGAAATGTGAATGCATTAAATTCAGATATTTTAAAAAAGGCACGCTGGAAGAAATCTATTAGTAACCAAAGGGGAAAAAAGATCTAGACATCGAAACATATCATATAGATGTTACACTGTCTTCTGATTAATCTGTTCTTGATTCGTGCATCAGACGTGTTGTATACGCATAACAGGGGTGAACAGGTAAGAATAGATAGGGGCTTAAATAAACAAAGGGAAAAAGTGCAAGTTACTCAGCCATACATGTCGAAGGGATGTAAGTGAACATTGCCTAATGTATCTTCGAAATCCGGATGCAATTTCTAGGTTGTTGTCTACATCCTCAGCAAATGCCGTGCTTAAAGAAATGCTAAAATGAAACGTTCGCTTTCATGAGTTCATTAATAGAGTAAAAAGCCTAGGTTAAAGTGCCATTTTTAAATTTCATGTCAAGATCACTGTATGTGAAATCGTAGATTTCAGAGTGTAGTTTTCGCATTTTGTGGTAAATTGACGCATTGAAATTACCTAAAACTCGATATATTATGTTACCAGCCCTTTTCTGAGGACAGTGTATTTCATCTTTACTGATAAGAAATTGCATACGCTGTAGTGGATGCCGTCAAAATCTGATGTCTCAGTGATTGAATGTGGAAATTTCAAGGCAGTGTCGCTACTAGCACTTTCTTCATGTGTTTTTTTTTTACTTAACAGGCACCTTCTTGTAGTGAGATTGGTCATTTTTCCATTGCCAAAGTTTAATTTACTGACATGAGAAAATTCTTTTTCGCCCTTTAGTGCTGCTTTAATCGTGTCACTAAATCGTGTTATCACGACTGGCTGTGTAACTTCACAATTTCCCTAACGTGTGCCTTCGTGTTTCTGATGGCTAAATTTGCTTTTCTTGTATGTGACCATAGAGTGCTCAGTTACTACAACTGATCTGTCTAATTCAGTCACATTCTTCATTTGGTATAAGTAATTGCTGTTGGGGGTTTTCCGTCTCAGTACCACTCCATGATTATAAGGAACACTGAAGTAGAGTGCTACAGAAATTTCAAGCACCCAGGGTTATTTAATTTACCCACAAATACAAGTACACAGGGCTTAATAGCATTTTTTGCCTGTATCGAAATGTGGCCGCCACAGCCGAGATTCCTTTTCGTAACCTTCGCTTCAGCGGTAGAGCACCGTGACCCTGTACCACCGCAGCCTGTTATTTGGTACTAATTGGATGAACTGACATCTACTGGTTTTGTTCCTAACACTGTCAGTGTCTGTGGGCATACTTGAATAAGCTCAGCGTGGAACGGTAAAAGACTAATTTTGTCTCCAGCTGGATCACCTGTCGTGCTGGTGTTAAAGGGAACAACAGCATGTTTGAGAAATAAAGAAATTGTGTGGCTGCTTGAGGAAAATTTAGTCTGCTTCGCTGAGAAATATTGCCAGTACAAAATAACGAAACATGGAGCGAGATGAACACAAACAAGCACAGATACAAATATTGCACTGGCAATATTTCGTAACAAATCTACCCTGTGCGTATTTGTGTCCCGCTCTTTCTCTGTCCCTTTACTTTGCACTGCAAATATTTCACAATGATCCTATACAGACTAGCCTGTCTTTCAACTTTTCTGCAGTTGCATTGTCTCTGGTCAAGCTTGTGGTTCATGCATTCACTATAGACCTTTTCGAAAACAATTCTCTGGGTCTTGTCATAGTCCTGTCTGGGTCACGCAAATTGGTTTTGACCCCCCCCCCCCCCCCCCCCCTCGAAAATGCAAGGCCGAGGCTGGGACTTGTCCTTCGCAGTCTCGCGCGGCCCAGTATGACAGCGTTTTTTTTTCTCCTCCTTTGAGAAAGTTATACTTACCTGTTTTTTCGCTTTGCAGGGGCATTGTTGGTATCAGCAAGCACCGCGTCGAACGCATGACGGCCATCGCGAATTACCTCGCCACAACAGAGTACGACTTTGTGTTTCTTCAAGAGGTGAGTATGTGCTCTCCACCAAGATTAATATTCTGGTTAATTGTTCTTGGCCTACAAAACCAATTCTTCGATGCTTAGGAGCGCTGTACAGTAAGCCTATAAATTAAATTTTTACCCCTCCCCCCCCCCCTTTTTTTTTGTGTGAAGATGTTCAGTGGTCATCAAAAGTTCACAGGCCATGCTGCTGTTGTAGGATGGTGAACTGTGAACGTTTTATGCCACCCCCACCCACCCCTTGTTCAAGTTGTGGGTCCTGTGCAAATATGAAAAAAAAAAGGAGAAACGGAAGAAAATATTTCAGGCCTTGCAGAACGCACAGAACTGTCACTGTGAAGGCGGAAAGAGGGGTTTTTCAGGAGTCTTTTGTAAACTCGCTTGGGGAAACTGCTTAAAGTACTCCTGCATGGTGCCCACTGCGCTATAAATCATAATTTTTGCGAAGTTTAGAAACGCCCATAACTCCATTATTCGGCGTTTTGGTAAGAAAAAGGCAAGGTACCCAATACATGCCTGTAAGGCATTGTGTGCAGTTTGTTTGTGCGGAGACTGATGAGGACTGAGCCCTTCGTAATGCGTTGAAAGCTGTAAAGGACCCACCGATTACCTAAGTCACATACCGTGATGCCAAGCTGTTGTTTTGCTCTTCTACAGCACTATATTGCGCGTGTTAACATGATTCCTAGGCAGCTAATGCCTAACACTATAGAGGTAGCCAGTACGCCATAAACCATAATTTTTGTGAAGCAGAAAAGTATTCACTGCGCCATCATTGTATTCATCATTCTTTGGATAAGTGTGGTACTAGCTATCCACCTGTAAGGCATCAGGTGCATTTCATTTATCATTCTTTGGATAAGCGTGATAACTGCTACCAGCCTGTAAGGCATTATTTATTTATTTATTTATTTATTTACAAATACTGTAACCCCATTAAGAGATTTTCTTAGGATGGGATACAAATATTTGATTCAACTACTAGGGCAAACAAAAACAATAAAAATAAACTACATGTGGTACAATGTCTATGCAAATATAGAAAAAATATGCTTCAAGTATAATTGAAATACTACGTCAAATGCAGTTATTAACACAACGAAAAGGAAAATAAGCTAGTTACACAATATGAGACATGAACAAATTCAGGGATGGCTGGAACATTACATTGTTGGGCAATTGATTCCATTCATTTATGACTATGGGAAAAAATAGGTACTTAAAGCAGTTGTTGCGAATAGTGAAGGGGGTGATTGTTAGAGCTTGTCGCTGTCTTGGAGCATAACCTGTAGAAAATAAGATAATTTCGGCAATATTAACGCTTTAGTGTCCCTTGATAAGTTGATAAAGAAATTTTAACCTGAGAACACGATTTCTTTGTGTCAAGGTTGGTAGATTGGCTCTTTTTAGCAAGGCTGCCTTTGAAGTGCATCCAAAGCTGTTGTATATATATCAAATCGCTTGCTTTTGAATGCCTTCTACTTTATCGATGTCTTTTTTTGATGAACGTGCACCAGATTATGGATGCGTAATCTACTACAGGCTGCACAATTGCGTTAAATGCAAGGAGACGAACATCGGGAGTCGCGAATCTCAAAGCCTATCTAAGAAAGAAAAGCTTTTGATTGGTAGAATTATACATAGTATCGATATGTTTGCTCCATCTGAGATCATTACAAATTTAGATACCAAGATATTTCATGTGGTCGACTTAAGAGAGCAAGACATTGTGTGCCTACTACTGGAAATCCAGATTGCTATGCTTGCGTGAAATTTTCATAAAAGCTGTTTTGTCAAAGTTGATACCCATCTGCCAATCATTGCACTACTTCACTATCTTATTAAAGGCTTCATTTAGTCGTATCTGGTTGCTGATAGTATCGATTTCTGAATATATCATGCAGTTATCCGCATACAGTTTAATTTTCAGAGGAATGTCATTAACTATGTCATTTATAAGTTTAAGAAACAAGAGTGGGCCAAGTACTGAAAGTGCATCAGGTGCACTTTTTACATGCTGTGGCTCATGACGATGACGAAATACAACTTGCATAGTTGGAAGCATTCAGTCACCAACTTGTTACACAATTCACATTTTGTAACAGATCAAATTGCATATGTTAACATTATTACTTCACCAACATGAAGCTTGCACACGGCCTGTTTGCAAAGGAGTTTCAAGCACACTGGTGTGGCTCTGTGATAGAATACTCAGCTGCCATGTAGAGGGCCCAGGATAGAATCCCATTTTATTCTGAATATTTTTTTATTTGATGTTTTTGTTTAGAGCATTGGTGATTATGTACGCTGGCAGCAGTTTACAACTGGGGTGGCATAAACAACTGTCATTGTGACCTCGTAACAGCTTTGTCTGTATAAATACCAAATTTGTCTTACAAATCCCTGATGCTGGAATAGACTACTAAGAATTCTATGGACCGCCAGATTGACCAACCTCTTGGATACCAGGGACATTGATTGTGAATGTTTTTTCAGAGCGAAGGTTCTCAAGCTAAAGCTTTTTTATTTTGGTAACGTGAAATGGGCTACGTGTTCAAAGGAGAGAATGTTAATGAAAGCCCAAGTAGGCAAATGTTTTTTGGGAAAGATGGAAGCTTAAGGAGACAAAAAGTTCGTGAACACGGGGCGCCGCTGGAGCTGACGTTTCGACAAGTCCACTTATCCAAATGTTCTCTGCAATGGCACCCCATTTTCATGGATTTTCAGTTTCTGCTAGCCAAAATGCACTATGAAAGAAAATTGAGTTTTTTCGTGTACGAAATCGTTACATGTATTCTTCAGGCTGCAGCATAATATTTATGTAAGCCTATATAACTTGCAATAATACAATCTTGTTGTGACCATCTGTCACTCCCTACTTAACAGCAATTTAACAGAACTAAATTACAAAGTGTGGCAGTTCATTTGCCCCATTGTCATGCAGCCTCCACAATGGGGATTCAAACTTGCAATCAACCTTATATTCTCCTGGGAGATTTCAATGCACGTAGCAATCTATGGGGTGACTCTCGCTGCGATGCTCGAGGTCACCTGATTGAACAGCTTCTTTTTTCTTCCGGTGCATGCCTGCTGAATCGGAAAGAGCCAACATATTACAACATCGCTAACAATATGTACTCAGCAATAGACCTCAGCATAATATCCCCATCACTCCTGCCTCTACTTAAATGGGAAGTCATTAATGATCCATATGGTAGTGACCATTTTCCTGTCGTTATCAGCACATCAATAACAAATACATGTCCTGCACAAGTTCCCAAATGGCTCACTGACAAAGCCGATTGGGAAAAGTTTCAAAAAATGACTTTATTATCTTGGACTGACATGGCGGCATTGAGCATAGAGGATGCTGTATGCTACTTTACAGCTTTCTTGGTTGATGCAGCAGCAAAATGTATTCCCCAAACATGTGGACCGTCAAGCAAACGACGAGTTCCATGGTGGAATAATGAGTGCCGTGTTGCTCGAAAAAAACAAAATAAGGCATGGAGGTTGCTTAGAGACTCGCCCACAGCCGAGAATCTTGTAAACTTTAAGAACGTCAAGTCGCAAGCAAGGAGGACGCGCCGACAGGCGAGAAGAGAAAGTTGGTACAAATTTGTATCGGCATTAACTCATACACAGATGAGTCGCGAGTCTGGAGCATGGTTGGTAAGGTGGCAGGACGAGGAGCACATTCGCTTCCTCTAGTGAACACACAACGGGAGAGTTTGGAAGACCAGGCAAACACTCTCGGAGCGCACTTTGAACAGGTCTCCAGCTCAACACACTATAGTGAAGCGTTCCGACGATACAAAACCGCAATAGAAAAACAGACATTAGTGCGCAAGCCCAGAACACATGAGGCATACAACGAACCTTTCTGTTTGGCTGAACTGCAGGCTTCACTTGCCTGCTGCAATAAATCTGCTCCAGGCCCGAACCGTGTGGCATATGAAATCTTAAAACACCTGCCCACTGAAACCCAGAAAGCTCTCCTCTCTCTTTGTAATGCGATATGGTCTTCTGGCGAGCTACCCTCAGCCTGGAAGGAAGCTATCATTATCCCAATTCTAAAACAAGGCAAGGACCCGGCCTCAGTTTCCAGCTACAGACCAATAGCATTAACCAGCTGTATTTGCAAAGTCTTTGAAAGAATGATTAACAGGCGCCTGATCCACTTCCTTGAAATTATTGGCCTACTTGACCCATACCAGTGGGGGTTTCGAGAGGCTCGGTCCACCACTGACCACCTTGTCCGTATCGAAGCCCAAATTCGCGACGCTTTTGTTCATGAGCAATTTTTTCTTTCTGTGTTCCTCGATATGGAAAAGGCATATGACACTACATGGCACTTCGGCATATTGCGAGACCTATCACATTTAGGTGTGCGGGGTAGAATGCTGACAGTTATCGAAAGCTACCTGTCCAACCGTACATTCCGTGTCCAAGTAGGCACTGTCTTATCTCGAGTATTTGTCCAAGAAACAGGAGTGCCACAAGGAGGTGTATTGAGCTGCACACTTTTCATAGTTAAAATGAATTCATTGCACCTGTCTCTCCCACGAAATATTTTTTACTGCATATATGTCGATGATGTGCAGATTGGTTACAAATCGTGCAACATCTCAATGTGCCAACGTCAAGTTCAACTAAGGTTGAACAAGGTATCTCAATGGGCAAACGAGAATGGTTTTATACTCAACGCGCAAAAGAGCACTTGTGTCTTGTTCAGCCGAAAGAGGGGCCTCTATCCTGACCCCGACATTGACCTGCATGGTCAACCTCTGTCAGTGAAGACCGAGCACAAGTTTCTTGGTCTCATATTAGACACTAAGCTAACCTTTTCCCACACATCAAGTATTTAAGGGACAGGTGCTTAAAAACAATGAACATTTTGAAAGTGTTGTCACGCACTACATAGGGTAGTGACAGGAAATGTTTAATTAACTTATATAAAAGCCTCGTACGCACACGCCTAGATAACGGTGCTATAATCTATCAGTCGGCAACACCATCAGCCTTGAAAATTCTCGACCCTGTCCACCATCTAGGCATTTGTCTCTCTACGGGTGCTTTCCGCACCAGCCCTGTGGAGAGCCTGTACGTGGATTCGAATGAATGGTCGCTCCACCTACAAAGATGTTCCCTGTCCTTTTTGTACTTTTTGAAGGTGAAGGTAGACAAGAAACACCCTTCCCATTTCACAATTAATGATTTGTCTTGTTCTGGCTTGTTCGAGAACCGTTCTTTGTTTAGGCAGCCCTGTGGGCTGCGTGTAAGGAGCCTGGCCGAAGAAACAGGTATGCCTGTTGAACACAGTTTCATGGCTCCTGCAACATATCTGCCACCGTGGCAGTGGCAGCTTATAGACTGTGATGTCTCTTTTGTTGATGTCACAAAGCACGCACCACTTGCACACATACATACATACTTCCTAGAACTACAACATAAATACACATGCCCTGAGTTCTTTACCTATGCGTCAAAGTCAAACACTTCTGTGTCATATGCAGCAATAGGCCAATCCTTTTCCGAGGCCGGCGTTCTTCATCCTAATGCAAGCATTTTCACAGGAGAAGCTTATGCAATACTGGCGGTCGTAAAACACATTAAACAGATAAAATTACAAAAGGCGGTAATATACACAGATTCCCTAAGCGTGGTCAAAGCCCTGAAAACTTTTAAAAAACACGATACCCCCATGCTGGTGTCACTTTACCACTTTACTCACTTCTGTGCACACTCTACACATCAAAACAGCATGTTGTTGTCTGCTGGGTTCGAGGGCACCGTGAAATACAAGGGAATGTTTGGGCCGACAATCTGGCTGCTTGCGCCAATGTCACTACTGCCAATGCATCAACACCAGTCCCTGCACGTGACTTAAAACCTTTTATAAAACGAAAGCTGAGGGGCTATTGGCAGAGTATGTGGGATAAACACACTGATAATAAACTCCATGCTATTAAGCCGCAACTAGGTTATTGGTCGCCACTATCAAAATCACGACACAGAGAAGTAATCCTAACAAGGCTTAGAACAGGACATACACATTCTACACATTCATTTCTTCTGTCTACCGGTGATCCACCATATTGTGAGAGATGTGGAGAGCCCCTTACGGTTCTCCACATTCTCGTCCAGTGCAATGAGCTAGATGCTCTAAGGAAAAAGCACTTTTTACTGCCCTACCGACAGCAGCTCCCTTTACACCCTGGGATGCTCATCGGTAGGGATCAGCTTTTTAAACTGCAGGCACTTTTTACGTTTTAAATATGTGCAAAGCTTTCACCCGATATTTCGAGGTAATTCGTAGCACGACCTCTATAGATTGCTCGTGGCTGCGGTGACTACATCTTCATCATGGTTTTATTATCATGACATTTTGCCATCCGCTATCACTACACATATGTCACGCCACTGTCATGATTTTATTACTTTCATGTTTTAACCCGCGTTAGAGCGAGGAGTTTTAAGGCCCCTTTACAGCCACGCACCATATCATTGTTCATATCTGTAGTCAATTGAAATGGCGCTCTTTGGGCATCAATTGGCCCTTGCGCCACTAAAAACTACTCATCATCATCATCTTCAAACTTGCAATCTTATGGTCATCAGCACGTTGTCATAGCCATTAAGCTCCTACGACAGTCCGCCACTCGGCACCAGTGGCTACTGTGCCTGGTGGCTTACCCGAAGGTTGTCGGTTCCTTCATGGACCCGGCAGTTGCATTTTCAGTGGAGGCGAAATGGTGGAGGCCCGTGTATTGTACGATGTTGGTTCTCATTAAGAACACCAGATGGTCAAAATTGACCATCTGCTTGCTGTGTGAAGGATTGCTGTTTAACATACGGTGCATCACTCAAAGCTTGAAGGTTTGTTGTAATGGCTCATGCATTTAAATCATGCTTATGCCCTGCTCGGTTACACCGTGGAGTGACATCAGCTGAATTCTTCTGCAGGTCTGGAGCCAGGAGGACTTCAAGCGCATCCGCAAAAAGGCCAAGCACAACCTTCCCTATGGTCACTACTTCTTCAGGTGATGGCCTTTTTTTTTTACATACCTTATAATGAGAGCTTAAAGGGGCCCTGAAACACTTTTTTGAGTAACCATGAAATTAATTCACTTCCAGAACGAGCGAAGTTACAAAGCTTTGTCACACTCTGCAATCATATTCTCTCTTCTCTTGTCCCGACAGAAGCGTTAGAAGATGAGCAGGAAGGGGCAAACAAATGTCACTCACGCTTCGTGACCTAGAGCATTTTTTAAATTTTTTTCTTCGAATGCACAACTTTTTCAGTGCGATCGCGCGCGCACTCGTGGACAAGTGATGGCTTCTCGCGGCGACCTCTGTAAAAACCGAGCGCGCCATGTTCAAATCAGCCAATGGCTGATAGATAGGCTTGCTGGGCTTATTTTCCATGATTTTTCGAGGGAAGAGAAAGCAATTTTCAGCTGACTTTGATAATTTATTGTGAATTCCGTGCCGCGTGCCGCCCTATAATAATTGGCTCGCGTGTCGTCGAGAGCCTCTACTACCGATCGGCAGCGTTTTCTGACATGCCCAAAAAGTGTTGCAAGGCCCCTTTGAAGGGACCCTGCAATGGTTTCTTGAAGTTTTGTCAGCGTGTAGGCTCAAGCTTCATCAAACCATTCATATCACAAATTTAGTGACACGTCATGTACCAAGGACCCTACGGACAATTACATTGTGATATCCTTCTCACCCCTACCTCACCTCCTCAACTCATGAGACATGCTGGCATTGCTAGTGATCGCAGAGCCCTCACGAGCACACTCAACGATTTGAGCTTGGCCCAGTCATGACCTCCAAAATTGTTCGCCGACATGTTGTGAGCAATCTCTGAGACCATAGTTCAGTGCACTCGGCAGCTCGCTTGCCGTCTGGCAACAGAGACAAAGATCGTGGAGTTCCGACAAGTTTCACCTCCATACCAGCCGATATTACTTCTGCGCATTCCACACCCAATAAAATCAGCAGTCTGGGTGACGTCACGGTTCCAGTAGATGTCCTACTGTCAATGGGCCGTTCAAAACGCGTTTGGCTAAGCCCCAGTGATTTGCAGCATTAAAGCGTTGTAATAAATTACACAGTTTACGCAGAGAGCTTAAGTGAGTTTGTAAATGACGTTTAGGACTTGGTCTATGGGCCCAATGTGTGTACAAAATCGTCCAAACCAATTCAGGGTCCCTCTAATGTCTTGAGGAGTGGGCTAGGCTCAAACACTATTGTGTAAAAGACCAACATCCGAAGAGGCACTCCATTCACCTTAATGATGTGCAGCTTCCTTGAGGGACACGATGCACATGACAGATTAAAGCTTGTAGTATTTTATGTTCCTTACGGCCACTGGGATCTACACACAGTTGAGGATTTAAAGTTCTCACAAACTATTTGAGAAAACATTCATAATTGTGAGCAGTGACTGCAATGCAACCTGATTAAAGTGTACTTGCATCACTCTATAACGAAATTTTTAAGTAGATAGCGCTGCAGTAAAGGTGAGAAGTTTTTTATTACTTCGCTATACAGTAATGGACAACTTTTATTCGCAATTAATTCATAGGTACAGAGCCAAAGTGCGAGAATTCTACTGCTACTGAATGTGGTTCCACAGTCATGTCTGCATTTCCTAGATGAGAATGACAAAAAATGATAAAAGAACTCTTCATTTTCTTCAGAAAGCTCTTTGATACAGGATGTGATAGACACCAATAAGATATTTGTTTTTATTTAAATTTAGACACTGTAATTTTGCATTTTTGCGCACTTCCTATGTATACATTAAATGCTAAATGTCATCTGCATCTTCAGATCTACATTATTCCATTTCTTTTGCTTATTTGCCCAAGAAACTTGCGAAAAAAGTTCACCCACGAATGGTCATCAAAGTGGGCAAACTATCACAAACCGTTTCAGGGTCCCTCTAATGTCTTGAGGAGTGGGCTAGGCTCAAACACTATTGTGTAAAAGACCAACATCCGAAGAGGCACTCCATTCACCTTAATAATGTGCAGCTTCCTTGAGGGACACAATGCACATGACAGATTAAAGCTTGTAGTATTTCATGTTCCTTACGGCCACTGGGATCTATACACAGTTGAGGATTTAAAGTTCTCACAAACTATTTGAGAAAACATTCATAATTGTGAGCAGTGACTGCAATGCAACCTGATTACAGTGTACTTGCATCACTCTATAACGAAATTTTTAAGTAGATAGCGCTGCAGTAAAGGTGAGAAGTTTTTTATTACTTCGCTATACAGTAATGGACAACTTTTATTCGCAATTAATTCATAGGTACAGAGCCAAAGTGCGAGAATTCTACTGCTACTGAATGTGGTTCCACAGTCATGTCTGCATTTCCTAGATGAGAATGACAAAAAATGATAAAAGAACTCTTCATTTTCTTCAGAAAGCTCTTTGATACAGGATGTGATAGACACCAATAAGATATTTGTTTTTACTTAAATTTAGACACTGTAATTTTGCATTTTTGCGCACTTCCTATGTATACATTAAATGCTAAATGTCATCTGCATCTTCAGATCTACATTATTCCATTTCTTTTGCTTATTTGCCCAAGAAACTTGCGAAAAAAGTTCACCCACGAATGGTCATCAAAGTGGGCAAACCAAACGTTGTGAAGCAGGCGAGCCAAATGTCACGAACCGCTTATGAAACATAACCCTCACTTTCCATATTGGTCCAAGATACGTGCCTATGAGGGCTGTTGGTGTAGGTGTTTATGTGCAGAAACTCCGCTCGGTAGATTACCCTTCATTGCCAAAAAATGTCCTTGAGTCATTCAATAATTATGTTCGTTATTTTTATTTATTCAAGATACCTTACAGGCCCATTGAAGGGCAATCAGTAAGGGGGCTTCACTATAACTACAAGACGAAATGTAGATTCAAAAAGCATGAAGCATAAAAAATACAATTATTACAAATGGCAAAATGCAACAACAACATACAATATGAATCGACAAGGAAATCTAGCTATCATAAAATGTTTGACAATTAGAGGTGGATTTATGATCCAGAACACCGTTTTAGTGTGCATTAATGCTGTGTAGTAGGGATGAGTAAAATGTCTGAGCGTGACGATGAATGCGCATGAAAACAGGTGCATTGCAAATGTGTCTAGATTTGTGCACATAAGAATGAAGAAGCAGAGAGTGAAATTTTTACTGTAAGTCTACCTGTGAAACAAACATGGCAGAGCAATGATGCAGCATTCTTCCAATCTCTTTAATACATGGTTTTTTAGTGAAATACTTGAATGCTGATTGTAGTTACCAGAGATGAATCTTGATGCTCTGTTCTCAATGGCTTACGACATACGATCTAGATAATTTTGATGTGATGACCATGTGGACGATGCGTGCTCTAGTTGCGGGCGAGCATAAGTAATATATGTATGTTAATGTGTGTAAATGAGGAATTTTGCGCAAGTTTCTACAAAGATAGCTGAGAGATTGAAAAGTTACGGCTGCTGTATGCATTGTCCAGCATAGATACAACTAAAGGTAAATGCAGAGGTATCTGTAAGATGGATAGTACAATTTAGAGGCGTTACAGGACATCTGTCAAGTGCACGTGTGCTCAATGTATTTTTGTTTGGGAGTGTAATGATCACCGAAGCATTTAATATTGTGGTAGGTGATGCAATCATCGGCAAAAATTTTAAGGTGAAAGGTTAGAGGGCAAATCGTTATTGTCAGTTAAAAAGAGGAATGGACCTAGCACACTCCTTTGAGGAACACTGGCCATGACATCACAAACATTAGATGAAAGTTCCATAGTAAATTGCTGAGGCCAAGACAGGTTGCGCAGCGAAATTCGGTTAGGTCAATATCACCAAATTATAAAAAAATCACTTTGAAATTCGTGACATTGCACGTAGAGATTTTGGCACTAAATTTAAGAATGAAGTTTTGACCTTGATTTTCTGCTCTGTTAATAATAAACCTGTGATGGTGAAATTAACTACAGAATTGTCTGAGCTCAATTTATGAATTCAAACTGATTTTTCGGTTTCCTTTATTGGCCCTTCATAGAATGCCAGATGGCTGAAGGTATGTGGAGTCCTCCGCTATGGCATCTGTCACAGCCAAAGTCGCCTCGAGATACAGTAAAACTTCTTTGATACGTTCCCGTTGAATAAAATTTTCTGGCACCTACACTTACAATCGAGAAAACCAAAAATAACCCGATTCGAATCATGTAGTTCGGATTGCAAGTTTTCCTGGGTTTTATGTTTATTTCCGGTGTTTTTTTTTTTTTTTTAAACTTGTCAACGAGGTTTTACTGTATGAAGCCCCATATATGATCCAACAAGTGTATTGAATTTTTCGTTCAAAGATTTTGAATTTTTACACCCTCATGTTGTCTCCAGAAGTGCTTACTCGATTGCCCCCGTTCTTCTGTTCTTTTGTGCCTGCAGCGGTGTTATGGGCAGTGGTGTGTGCCTGTTATCCAAGAGCCCCATCGTTGACACGGGCCTGCTCAAGTACAACCTGAACGGCTATGCGCACAAGATCTTCCACGGCGACTGGTTCGGCGGCAAGGTGGTCGGCCTGTGTAAAGTGCGCCACCGGGGGCTGAACGTCAACCTCTACGTCACGCATGTGAGTTGTGGCCACGATGTGGGACTTCTATTTATTTGTTTATTTACCACAGTACCCTCATTGCCCAAGGGTATTACAAGGGGGGGGGGGAGAGATTACAAAATTTCAAAACTGAATACAGAATACAGATACTCACACTTCTAAACCACAATAATAACACAATTCATTGTCAACCTAGTGGCACGTGGGAGTACACAATACAAAGCAGCTTCACCGTACCGTTTCGTTCCTATAGATCCTCGTGAATACACTACTCTAGACCCTGCAGTAATCTTGAAAATACTTTATGTGAAGTAACCTCTGCTACTTCAGAAGGCAACCTATTCCACCGCGCTATCATCCTTAGCTTATTGGGAGGGGTGGGGGGACTGCAGTCTCTGCTGATCATTGCTTGTCTGTCCACCTCCCTGGAGCTAAAGTGGTGCCATGTTCTAAACAAGAAAAGAAACTACAAACAAGAAAAGAAAAGGGCACTCAAAAGACATTCAAATTTGTCACGCTTATCAAACAATGGCTAGGACTGTGCACCTATTCAAGTATTTTGAGTGCACGAACTTGCTCGGTGGATTTCGTGCTGAACGGTTCTGCTGTCCGCAATCTCCTCTGCGCTGGCGTGGCTCTCGCCGTTCAAGCTGCTGTTTACGATCTAGTGTCATGTAGCTCTCGCTGATCGGTGCCCCGTCTTTGGACGCTTTCGACCAAGTTCCAATCTTTTATATTTTTCTCAAACTTTGCTTCTCTCCCTTTCACCTTTAATCCCTCCTTATCCCCTTCGCTTGTGAGAGCTACTGCTGAGGCGTCGCACCCTGATGCAGAAAGTTGTGGGGCTCACTTTTCGTTTCATTTTTTTTCTATTTTAAAAATCAGTATCCTCCCTTGAATATTCGAGCTCATACTGCAGTGTTTAAATACACCTCCACGTGAACTCATTTTCAGAATTTCAAAGTACTAATTGAGACAAACAAATAGGCATACATTACCACATGTAGCCTGGCTTTGCAGCGGGTGTCACTGCGATTCGGGGCAGCTATGCTGTGAGACTGCATATACAGAGGAAGTTTGCACTCTGATTACTATTATTTTTTGTAATGGTGAAGCTGTTCTTATTCAAGGTTTCCCTGTCCGATGGCGCCACACTGATCACGTGGCATCGCAGTGGGTCGAGAGTGAGGCCCTGTAGGAAGGGGAAGGCTGCACAGTGCCAAGCGTGGCAAGGGTGAAATTTGATTGGCCAACTAGTGACAGGCTCTCAAGAGGGGCGAGAGGGGAGGCTCAGTAGAAGAATCCAGCCGTTTTGCGAGGAGTCGGTCGGCGAGTGCCCGGATGAAAGTCTAAAGCAGGACTTTCGTTCTTTGTGAATTCACATTTTCGTGAGGGGGAATACTGCTCCAGAGAAAGAAGCCACCTAACGTGAGCGTCACTGAGAGCTTACGCGTGAACGGCATGTTGTTGCCGAGCCAACCACGATTTTCGTGCAATAGAGGACGATGCCAAGTGCCAATCAAGGGAAAACTTAAAAAGACATAAAATCACAATAGCCTCGTGATGGAGGGCCACCAGCGTCACCGTTCAGACAGTGTTTGCGAAGTAGAGCTGGCTGCATTTCTTTTTTATAAAAAACTTGAAAACACAAAGGGCACATATGGGCTTATAAGTTTTACTACTTGCAATTTAAACCTTGCTACTGCTGAAGTTCTTTTAAATTTTGAATTCACTACAGAATCATTCAAATGTAATTACCATTTGCTTCGACTCGACTTCTGACCACAAAAAGCGATATTCGCACAAGCCTCATAGTAATATAGCTCCTTAAAAGACAACAAAAATGAAGTTTGTGTGCTTGCAAGCTGGTGCTTCGGCACGAGCACGTCGCATGTGTCACACTAAGCTACACCCAAGTTACTGTCTTCTAGTGTGTTTTGTACTTGTGCTTTAAAAATAGTAGTTGGCAGCCACTAACGACTGCAGAGATGCAACGATGTACAGTATAAAGAGTGCTCATGGATCGAGATGTGTTAGTTTAGGGCCAAGTAATGCACATCTGTACATCCGTTTCTGCCATCGTCTGTTCAAGTCCCATCGGCGCGATATTAGCTCGTACACTTGTGTCAGAACCAGCATCTTTTAGGGGCGAAGTACCGTAGAGTTGACCATTGTCCAGCACAGCACATGCAAAATATGCTAAAGATGACGCTGCCATCACAGCGCAGCACATGCAAGGTACCCATGATGCGGCATGACGATAACGCTGCATAAAGAATAAGTGCGTTACAGAATACACATTCTCTCTCTGCCATGGATAAAAACCATTGTGAAAGTGCTCTCGCCCGGGAAAGGCAAGGCGGCCACGTCGACCACAATCTGCTATTCGGAAGGTTAGAGTGCATGCAGCAGGCAGCAGCTCAATGCCTACGCTGACAGCAAGGTGCTACTCCAGTGTTGGAGGCGTTGAAAGCGGCGTTTCAGTGGCAAAAAACTCTTTGTATATACTGTGTGTCTGCGTGGTCACTCATTTCCCACTGGCGCATGGTGAGTGGCCAACGTCATGGGTGATTTACGGTAAGAACGATCCCCAGTGCTTCCCCGACTCATCATCATTCACTTCGTGTAGATGCGTAGATTTTTTTAGGGTTTGATTAACCAATAGGACATGATTTTAGGATATGAATTTTAGGATATGATTAACCAATAAATCAATCAGTTTTATTATGAAAAAGGATGTTACAGAACGTAAAACATAGACGATGGTTCTAAAATGCAGTACTGCAATGGTACCCACGGTGATGATTCAAAGTTGATAAAACAATAACTAGCAGCTGTTTCAACCATTAAACCAAAAGAAATACAACAAGCAAAATTAAAAACAAAACGACATGGAACCCAGAAACAATGATGTGGTTATTGCGAGTAGTTGCGCAGGGCAGTTATGATTCTTGAAGTTTTGATGTCACATTTTTATTTTGGAATACCTTAAAACTGCACTAAGGGTCAAATATAGCAGTGATGAACGTATGGCCCAGTCTCCACAAAGCCTAATGTATTTGCTTATGACACTACAATCACACTACGAAGACATGTTATTGCATCTCAGAAGTGGTCGTCTTTAAAAAGAAACACGCATAAAAAGAGAACTTGTCTACAATTATGCTGCTCTGAAATGCGCTAGCAGCAATGTGGAATATGCTTGATTACCACAGGTCAAGTCTGTTTATTGTCTGGTTGGGCTCTGCACCATCAAATGGCTCGACCACTCTTTAGAACCTCTTGATCCTGTAAAGTAGTGAAAGTCTCCTCTAAGAGCATGTTTTTCTCGAATTTCGGTCTCTGCCACGCTGGCAAACTGAACTTTCTAATGCCGTTCCTCTCCACAGTAGAGTCAATATGTGGTCCAGGCGGGACTGAACTTTATGGCCCAGCAGGCGATTCTAAAAAAGTATACCACAATAAACTTCATGAATTTTGCCTTGGCTGGAAGATTATTTCTTGGGAATTTGGTGAACTGAGTTTTATTATGTACAGTAGACCAGTAGACTAGGTAAACATAAATCTTTTAAAATAAATGCTGCCTGAATGGAACAGCTGCCTCTAATATGATCAGTTTCATACTTGAATAATGTGCTTCTCTTCATCTCTCAGCAAACGTAACGCATTTTTTCTTGTCTCTTGAGGTTCCGTTTATGCTGTCTATACGTTATATCCACTGTTGTGGAACGTGTAAATGTCTCACATGGCTAAAGTAATAATCTAGTGATCAAGTTAAATTAGAAACTGCAATGCAGCAAAAAAAAAATGAATGTTAATGAAGCTTCTCTTTTTAATTCCTAGACATAATTGTGCATGGTAAACACACAGGAAATTAAAAGTGCTTTCACGAGGGTAAAACTCGAGGATCAAAAAAAAGCTACATAAACAAAATTACCAGCTTACAGTAACAAATGTCTACTGAAAATTTTTTTATTATAGCAGGAACAGTAAACAGTAGTACTTAAGCCATCATTTTTAAAGAAGTATTCTATGTGCTGTTAGAGGTACTGTGTACAGGAACAAAAGCAAGGTTTTGGCTACCTGAATACGTTAATTAGTGATTGGTGTGCTCAAGCCCCATTATAATAAAGTTGTGTCTTACACGAAAATGAGTTCATTATACGTGAAAATTCATTACAAAGGTATATTATTAGCACTACATCTATTACAAGAGTACTGTTCATTTATTTTGTTATAACCAGTATTTTGTTATACCAGGGTTCGAGTGTCTTTCAAAATTCTACGCTAGACGCAGCTCCACTACTGTAGGATTTGAGAAAGTGCTTATAGCACAGGAATGCAGGGATTCCCGTTTGTTGAGATCCCACTGCTCTATTCACGGAACCGTCGACAACGTGAGCGTTTAATGTAAGCATGTAGGGTTTCCACGCCGCAAGCAGAATATAATTGGGAAGCTTCCAAACTTGGTGTGTGACATGCATGCCACATTTTGCTTCACTTCATCAACTTCTTAATTGTTACGGCATTTGTGATACATGTCATCTGCAACGAGTTACGTCAGGTCATTTCCTCGGTCGTATGTAGTGACAGACAAGGAAAAGCGCTGGTTGTAGGAGCAATCATATATACTTTGGAAGGTAGCGCCCTCTCAAGAGGTTGGGTGTCAGCCGCATGTTTCTGATGCACTTTCAGCAATGGTAAGTTGATTATTTCCATCACGCTTTGGGTATTTCCTGCTAATAACTTACTTTAGAGCTTGTTTGTTTCTTTAACCAGGTTTTTGAAAACGATAGCGTTGTTTTAAGCCTGTATTTTTTGTTTCTTTAACCAGGTTTTTGAAAACGATAGCGTTGTTTTAAGCCTGTATTGACCGCTTGATGGCGAGTGTGATGAATGGATGACAAGCCGTGCTCCTATAGCGCTGTGTACATGAAGCATAAAAAATCTCCATCCAGCTTTACCCACAAAATATTAGAAAGGCTGTTATACATTCCTCACAGCCTTTACGAAAATCT